GGAGAGAGAGAGAGAGAGGAGCTTTCTTGGTTAGAGATAGAAGCTAGAGAGAGGAGACAATGGTTTCTTTCCTCTGCAGATAGAAGCTAGGTTTCTCCCTTTTTGGTAACACAGAGAGAAACTTCTTCTCTTCTCTTTTAATCAGAGAAATGGAAAAAGATACGACTTTAGTTTTTGGGGGAGAGAGAGAAGCCTTTTGGGTTTGGAGATTCAATGCAATAATAGTTTGGTCACATCAGATGGGGATCTCTTTCCACAGGCTGATTCAGATTCACACTGACCAAAGCTCTGTTCCATCTCTTGCAGGTGCCACTTTTCCGATGCATGGAATGTTTAAGGAATCCCTATGAGGTTTCGCACAGCTACCATAAAGGGTTAGGCAAAGCTGTAAAATTTAAGGAGCCCCATGTTTTTTTTTTACTTTCAAGCTTTTATTTGTGTTACATTTTAGCTACTTTTGTGTACCCCTTGTTTCTTGCAAACTTCTATATTTAGAATATTAGAGAGCTTAATTAAAGTGTAGGCAAAGTAGTGTTTTCTTTCTTGTGAGTCGTGTTTTACTTTAAAGTTGGTCATCACATTGTGTGTTTGCTTCTTGCTTTGGACTGATATTTGGTGGTATTATGACCATGTTGCAAATATTGCCAATGGTTTTATGCTCCCCCAGGAGCATCGTGTGCATTCACTACCTCAAGTAAAATCGTATCTAGCCGTACTACCTCAATATTTGGGGCAAAGAACTTCAAAGAAGACAAAACAAGAAGGAAAAAAAAGGAAAAAAGAAAAGAATAGAAATATCATATACATTGTATATGATGATAAGTTTGAACAGAGTTTTATGCTGACTGCCTACCTAACATAATCCAGCCCTTTTACTCGGGCATGGGACGGGATAAGAGAGTTTAAGGTCTTCTTAAATCGCATACATTATATATGTACTTAAAAAATAACTTTCCAAAATTGAGTAAAGACCATACAATTTTAGATAGTCGGATATATAGGAATTCAAGATTCAACTTTTTTTTTTTTCTGACAAAGAGCATAAATTATATAAAAAGGATACCCAACGGGATAATATCATTCAAAATTGAAAGTGAAGGTAGCGCCGCTACCCCTTTGGCTAAGAAATCAGTGAAGCCGTTAGCTTCCCTAAAAACATGATGAAAAGTAGCAGGAACACTTATCACCGGCTCGAGAATTTGAAGCTAGAGATATTTGAGTTCCCAGGGAACCCTTATCTCCTTCTTGCACCACTTAATAACATTCTACGAGTCCCCCTCAATTATACAAGTTCTACCCACAAAATTGGATTGAAGTAGTTTTAAACCTTGTGGAAGAGCTGCCATTTCAACAAAGTTAGCAGTGGCTTCTTCGAACCTGCAAATGAGAGACAGACTAGACCATTGGAGTCAAGAACCACTCCCCCAATACCTGCCTTCCCAGGGTTACCTTATGAGCTTACGTCAAAATTTAAATTAAGGGCATTAAGGGGAAGTGAACACCAAGCAGTCCTAGGCCTTGTGAGCATACGTCAAAATTTAAATTAAGGACATTAAGGGGAAGTGAACACCAAGCAATCCTAGGCCTGTATCGAGTCGAACCCAAAGAGATTAAATTGTGGAGTTGAATCATAACATCCACTTCTGGTAAACTCCATCCTTCATTTGTTGCAACCAACCAACACAATAAGGAATGCTTGATTTTGAGAAGCACCCTTTAAAGGGGAGCCAATCCCCTTCAAAAGTACGTCTATTTTGCTCCAGCCAGATTTCCCACATAATCACACCCCTGCTATCATTCAAATAACTTTTTCAACTTTTGGCAAACTAGGTATTGACAGGTTTGTTACAATAACGATCACATCTTGAGGCAGAGGTATGCTAATACCCATCATGACCAAAAACCAATGTCACATCCTAGCAGCAAAATGACAGTGAAGGAAAAGGTGAGCCCCAGATTCAAAATCTTCCTTACACATCAAGCAAATGTTTGGAAGAATTTTACCCTTCTTGATAAGATTATCAACAGTGAGAATCTTATCTTGTACCTCGAGCCATATGAAAATCTGAACTTTATGAGGTTATAGGTCATTTCCAAATCTTTGCCACTTATGGCATTGACCATCTTCACCGGCCATGAAAGAGAAAACTGTAGTATAACTTGACTGAAAACACTCTATCACTTCCTTCTTCCCATATAACCTCATCATCCGAGGCATTCGGTATGCACCGTTCAACAAGTTCAGAAGAGAACTAAGTTGCTCTATAAATTCATCATTCAATCTGCTACATGGTAAACTCACATTCCAGAAGACTTGGTTACCAACTCCTTCACAATTATCAACAACCTTGCAATTCGGGTTGGTTACCTTCTCGAATAAGTCATGAAACAAGAGTTTCAGAGAATAGTCCCCAACCCACTTATGGTGCCAAAAGGAGATGTGAGAGCCATCACCAACTACCCATCTCATACTTCTATCAATAAATGGTTCACAAAGAGCAAGGTCTCTAAAAGGAAGACCTAGACCCTCTCCTACTTGTTCCTAACCACATACCATGTCTATCCATCTCATATTTTACAACCAAAACTTTAAACTACAACTGGTCCTTCAAGAGGGGGCTTCGCCACCACCATTTATAACAGAGAGCCTGATTAACAATTTTAACTTTCCACTTTTTGGGTACACACTATCTCATCTCAAAAGATGGTATTTTCTATCATCATCATATGAGAACCACAAAAAATCACTCATCATCCTCTTTGTTTTTTAAACAAACAATTGCATGCATTGGAAGGATTGACATATGGGCAAATTAGCCAAACATGATTGAAGCAACGTAGCCCTCCCTCCTAAAGATAGGCATTTAGGCTTTCATAGGTCCAACTTGGTTTGGACACAGTGGAGGACAGTATCCCAAGTAGACGTGGTTAGCCTTCTATTTGAAATTGGTAGCCCTAAATAAGTGATTGAGAATTTATCCCCCCTACAGCCCAGAGCCCTTGCCAAGTCTTGGACCACCCCTTCCTCACAAATTATGCTAATCAAGGACGTTTTATTAAAATTGACCTTTAATCCAATCATTACCTCACAAATATTGAAAAACGTGGCTATATTGGTCACTTGCATAATATATGCATCACAAAACAGCAAGGTATCATTTGCTTATTGCAAATGCGAAGAATCCCCAACTTCGAAACCCTTGAAATACCCTCTCCCCTCTATATTATTAATCATCAGACTCAAACACTCAGCATATAGAGTGAAAATAAATTGTGTTAGGGGATCACCTTACCTTAAACCCCTCGATACTCTAAAGAAACCAATGAGATTACCCTTAAAAAGCATAGTGAGCCGAGGAGAGACATCCAAAAATCCAACTCCTCCATTTTCCCCCAAACCCCATCTTCCACGTAGCTTCTAGTAGAATATCTCATTCTACTCTGTTATATGTATTTTCCATGTCTAATTTTATAACCACCACTGGATTTTGGCTAATCACTCTAGAATGGCTACATTCATATGCTATCAAAACATTATCCGTAATCAGTATATCTTGGATGAAAGCAGATTGTGGGCCTGATACAACCAAAGGTAATACCACTTTTAATCATTCTGTATAAAGTTTTTGCCACAATTTTATATAAGCTAGTAAGCAAGCTAATGGGTCTTATATCACTAAGATCAGCAATAACATTTTTCTTTTTTGGCAATCAAAGTGATGTACGTGGAATTGACCCTGCTAAATAACTCCCCCCTTCTCATGAAATCTCACCATTTCCAACAGACCCAAATTCGTTAAACTCCAAAAATTTTGGAAGAAAAATAATGGGAAACCAGCAAATCCTGAAGCTTTATCACCTGGCAAAAGAAAAACAACTCTTTTTAGATCCTCTAGGGATACCTCAGCCTCAAGCTGAGCAACAAGTCCAAGGGTTAAGCATTTGAAAGGGACCCTATTGATCCTCGGGGTAAAAAACACTTCTGAGGAAAATGCCTTCTTGAAGTGCCCTTCCACAGCTTGAGTATCATCAGGGTCTAACACCCAAGAAGATGGAGATGCCCGATATATCATTCTGTATTTTACTAGCACTGACAATAGCATGGAAGAACTTATTGTTACGATCTCCTTCTTTTAGCCACTTGGATCTAGATCGTTGTTTCCAGTAAATTTCTTCCATTCTTCTTAAGTCAAAGAGAGACTTAAGTTTGTTGTTCATTTCCATACTTATCTCTTCAGTCGAAACTCCCACTTGCTGAATATTGAGATCCAACAGTTCTTTATCTAGTAAAGTCTCTTCAATTTTTGTTCTAACTATATATGTTCTCCTTTTTCCATACCTTCTCTTGCTCTTGAGCCATACTAGGGTCCATCTTTATCCAACTTTTTGGGGGTAATTATTTTATTTAAATGATACTCATTAGACGATTCTAAACGCTATCATGGACCCCAATGTTTTTGACAGAAAAAAATCTTCCTAAGTGACTCAATCTTCCTTAGTGGATCTTTTGCTTGAGAAGTGTACAGTATGCTCCTACAGGAGTACACTATACCTGTTCACTATTGCCATAAGATTATACGCGCATATCCTCTATTCACTTGGTAGGGTAATATAACTTGTTATACTCCTTAAGAAAAACATAGAAGAACTAGGAATTAGGAGTTGCTTGAAATAGAGGTTGAGGAAATAGCCATGTCTTATTCATTTCTAGAGTAAAAAATGATTGATAATTATTTTAAGGGTAATTAACATAAATATCCCTTGTTTTTGAAAATTTTGAAACGTACCCAAATTTTTTAAAATCTACATCCATACCCATTCTCTAATGGTTTTTTATTGTTTTTAACCAAAAATGTCAATCACGGTTTTATTAAAACCATGATTGTCCAAGGACCTTCCACACATCACGGTCATAGTTCTAGAGTCCTAAAAGAACCATCATGGTTCTAGGATGTGTTATGGACCACCACAATACTAATAGTACCGCGATGGTGAACCCTAAAATACCCTTGTGCTTTGAGGATCACCGCGGCACTATTTGTGTTGATGCGTCCCCACGGCACTAATTGTGCCATGATGCTCAAAGCACCACAATATTGTGGTGCATTGAGAAGCACCACACGACCGGAGGGAGTGTCACTGTTCTATTAGAGCCATGATATTCCCGTCAGAAGGTATAATGGAAAAAAAAAAGGTTAGGTGTGGGGAAAATGGGTATGGATGTAATTTTTTTTAAAAAAAAATTGGGTATGAAGTTTGTTGGGATGTGCACTTTTATTATTCTAACACCTACGAAAAGATTTAGGGCTCCTAACTTCCCAAAGAAAATAGATTCCTATTGTTTATCAATGCAAGACATGCCTTTTGGCTCCACTTGTGTGCCCTTGAAATTATATGTTTCTTAGTCCTATTTCCTAAATAATTCATGTGACGAAGATACAGGGCTATATATTCATACCTTTCCATGTATAGGTGAATGCATATAGAATTAACAAGAGAAGGCTATGGATTGCAAGAAAGCTTGAAGTGACTGATGGCCGAGAGAAAATTGTCTCATGGTACATAGAT